ATTTTGCTACTTTTTAGAAATTTGGCAAACTTCAATATGCAAATCTTTTTAATTAAAAATCCTTTTAAAACACTTTTCTCACATTTGAATTCTTACCAACATATCCTTTTAAAATCATGGCTTTATTATCTCAATAAGTTTCTTGAGTATTTCGAGGAGTATTTCTGTTTCCCCCTGGATGGGATGCTAATCCTTTGCCTGGCTACTCCCCCCCTCCCCTCCAGCACTAAATTTGCCAGTAGCCATTTATATGCTGTGAGAGTTACATATCTTGCCCAGGAACACAATATGATGACCTCTGGCAGGGTTTAACCTCAGGTTGCGTAGTCTATAGTCCAGTGGCTCTGCAAGTTACTCCATATGGTATTTTAAAAAGTTTGCACTTTTATAGCTAAGAAAATAGTGTCCTGGCTAAGATTTTTATTGAGCTGGTCACCATTTTTTCAGTGAGACCTGGAACAAAATGATTTTCGTCCCCAATCTTATGCAACACCTTGAGTGCAGGGCTACCAAGCTTCATGTTTACAAGATGGCAGACACAGGACGTAGAAAGAGAACACGCTAAACAAGTGCTCAAAACAAGATTTTATTTCAATTACTTTACTTATTATAGTGGCAGCGATACTCACTTGAAGTTAGTCAGAAACTTATTCCAAACTTTTTATTTGGATGGCTTGATATGGTTCAGATGTCAAATGATTGTTCGTGTGTAACCTAAAGACCGTTTGTTGTCCATTACTGCCCCCCCAAAATCCAGCTGGCAATTACCTCCTTTTCAGCTGGCAAATTTTGCAGGTAGCTGGTGCTTCTAAGCAACAACCCTGGCTAAGTTGATGTAGTTCACCTGTCCAGTTTCTGCAGTGTTGTAAGGAAGAATTCATTTATGAATCTGTTCATATTTTGTAATTTAGTCTTTTGAGGATGATGGCAAGTCATTGTTATTGAATCAACAGGCATTGACAGTTCATCAACAGCATGCATTGTGAGCTCCATGTGTCACCAGGTGTGTCAAGCTATAAAGAACGGAGATCAACAGGTGCTGGAAGATGTCCGCAGGATTATCAATGATCAGTGAGTTATAACAGTCAAAATGGATCAAACATTTCTGCCAGTAACAATTTTTTGTTAGGTTGACTAAGTTCACTGCCTACTCTGCCTTAGTGTATTTTGATGTCAGCTTTAGCATAACTGTAGACTCTAACTTGAAAGTGAAAACACTGACTATTTCTCGTTCTTTAAGCATGA